AGATAGATAGATAGATAGATAGATAGATAGATAGATAGATAGATAGATAGATAGATAATCATGTTATTTATCTATCTAGCTATCTAATCCCGTTATCTGTCTATCTATCTATACCTTTCTTTATTTTTCTGTTCCTCTTTTGAGTTAATTTCTATCCTATTTCTTTTGTTTCATTTAGTACTGTGGGGGCCCAGTTTTTCCCTTTGACCTAACTACACAAAGATATATTTTCGATTTTTACAATGTCAGTTGTTTTGTCAGTCAGTTCGCCATAATATATATTAATTCGGATCTGTTCATATGTGTCGTTCTACCTAATCTTTCCCAGCCTCTATTCTGGATTGTCAAATAAATTCGCACGTTTTTCCAATGTTATTTGAATTAACACACAAAATGTTTGTTTTTGTTTTATTATCGTAGTCTTTTATGTTTTTGTCGCTGTACAATTTATGTTTTCGTTTTATATTATTAACTGATTCGTTAAACGTGTTGATGAATAATAGGATTAAAATCAATGGAAAAAAATGAACGACTTTCCCTGACAACCCAATACATCACTCTCCCTATTTATCTATCCTAGCTGATTATACGATATTTTTCAGCATTAAATTATATCGCTTTCACTAAAACAAGTGATATGATTTTAATCTTCATAGAGTGCTCCGAACGTATCTATCTATGTCTCATTTACTTGATATACCTACCTATCGGTCTCAATTTGTTTAATATCTATCAGTCTTTTTTGTTCATACCCCTAAATCAATCAGTTTCTCTGTCTTCCTCACTTTTATATCCATCTATCTATCTATACATACATACATATATATGTGCATACATAAATACATATATATATATACATACGTATATACAGTGTTGTGAAAAAGTAAGTGAAAGCACTGAGATGATATAAAAAATATTCTCTTTTTTTTCAGATAGGCAACATATCTTAATTAAACTATATATTCACTCAGAAAAAAAAACTTTATTAAATAAATTACAAACATCTTCAAATAATTTTATCAAGCTAGAATAAAAATATTAATTAAAAATTAAGATATGCTAAAGTAAGTGATCCCTTACTAATGAAGTTGGTGACTCCTCTTTTTGAAGCCACGACGGCGACCAGTCTTTTATAATAATTTTAAGAAGTTTCTGTTAGTATTGAGTATCAATTTTTGACCATTCCTCTTGGCAAAACTTACCCGGTTGTTCGATATTACCTGGGTTCCTTGCTCATAATGCCTTCTTTAACTTGAACCACAGATTTTCAATTAGGTTTAAATCAGGACTTTGACTTGTTGACATTACAAGACTTGAAATTACTTTTTTCGAATCCATTTTTCTGTAAATTTCCTTTGATGCCTTGTATCAATTTCCTTTAACTCAACTTTTAAACAGAGGGCAAGAAATTTTCGTTCAAATTTGCTTGGTATCTTGCAGTCCATTGTGTCATCAATGCTTACTATTTTGCCTGTTTACTTGCAGCAAAGAAACCCCAAATCATAATACTGTTGTCGCTATTTTTAAGTGTTGGCGTCAAATTCTTCTCTTCGAAAAGATGTATTAGATGCTCACTAGATATTCCGCCTACCGTTCCTTCCAAAGCGCTCGAGATCGATCTCACCTGGCCATCAGACCTTTTGCCAGAATGATTCTAGCTTGAGGAGTTTGGCAGAGTTTGGTCCAGATTGCGTTTTTTCGTAAGCAGTGGCTTTTTCTCTATGCATTCTTCCATGAAGACCGTTCAGATTTCGTCGCACCTAAGATGTATGCACATTGATTTCGACATTGGCCAGGGTGCCATCAAAAACCAGAGGTCACAGCAGGATTCACCTGGACTTGCACTTCACCTGAAAACTCCACTGCGCAGGTCTGCAGGAGACGTTCGCGTCCACCAACCATTGCCAAGCACTGTAGCGATAGGAAATGATCGAAAACAGTAGGTGGAATGATATGATATAGTTTAATGAAGATTTGTTATCTGGAAAAACAAACAACTTTTTTTTTAATATTATCTTAGATGTTCAATTACTTTTGCTCAGCACTATATATGTGTGTGTGGAGACTGGGGTCAATATCGAATGAGGACACTTTGTTCCATGCTTGAAAGTATTCTTCAAGCCAGGTGTGTTGGGTGATAGTTTCACTATTTATATATGCTAATCAATGGGGCATTATGGCTAGCCAAGTAAGTTATTTCCATTTTATTCGGTTATCCTAAAGGTTATTAGATCGGCAGGAACGGTTATATTTTAAATTATTCTGAAGGTTATTAGGTAAAAATAATTATAGACCAGAATGCGATTATAGCTATTGTATAGGTCTGTTTCTTAACTTTTAACTCATTATTTATTATTGATTTCTTAGGACATGCATTAACTATTATTTATCTCAGTCTGTTCATATCTATCCGTCTAATTATCTCCCTTTATTTATATCCATCAATCTATCTACCGATGGTAATCTTTTCATATTTATCCCTTTATCTGTCTCAGTTTGTTCATCTCTATCGATTAACCTGAATTGTACTTATCAATCTATCCGCATGTGAATCTAATTAGGAATCAATATTGCAGTCCTTGGCGCATGTGGGTGCAGGCATGTGGGTGCAGGCATGTGGGTGCAGGCATGTGGGTGCAGGCATGTGGGTGCAGGCATGTGCTGCGAGAATGCTTTGCTCTTGTCTTTATGTGTACATCCACTTCGCCATGCCACAATTTATCCCCTAATATCGCCATGATAAATGCAGTTAGTTTTTTTGGAACTTCTTTCTCGATTTATGTCGAGGTCGTGTTGGAGGTGAGTGGATCTTCAATTTCAAAGAACGGCATTCGAGTCCAAATCAAGAAAATATGTAAATCCTCAATCACTACTTTCGGTGATATATGAACTTCATCTTGTCATCACAGGTACAATGTATTGAGATATATATATATATATATATATATATATATATATATATATATATATATATATATATATATATATATATATATATATATATATTAACCCTGCCGGAGAGCACATTTTCTTTATTAAAACTTCTCAAGTACGCTGGTCGATTGTTGCTATACAGATTGTTTAAAATAAAAACGAGGCGCTTATTTCAAATACGGGTATCAATACGGGTATCAATACGGGTATCAACTAAAAATAATGTATGAAAAATAAAAATATGGGATTCAAAATAAATCCATTAATTCTTTAGTAATATATTAATAACGTATAAACAGAAAATATATTAAAATAATTGTCGGACTTAGTCCATTTCATTATATATATATATATATATGTGTGTGTGTGTGTGTGTGTGTGTGTGTGTGTGTGTGTGTGTGTGTGTATAGGATGTTGGTGAATGACAAAAAAGAAACATTTTGAAAGGTCTTCGTCAGGTTAATAATGGTGCTATCCAAGCGGTTATATACATAATAAAGGCGGGAAAGAAACAACAAATGTCGGTAACAATCTTACGAGAAACGCTGTAAATGTTGGAATACTTACCATTAAAATTCTTTTTGTATGTTTTCAACGACCAATTTCGTAAGGTGTGGAATTTAACCGCATTCAGTTTGCATTGCTTTCTTTTTTCATCTTTATATTTAAAAAAAAGATGTAAGATCCTGGAAATACATTTATCGTACTGGATTTATAAATTAATACATAGGATATTTTTTTCGTTCAACTATCCACCCACTATCAACTGAATATATTGATTGGTATGTCATATACACACATATATATAATAGGAAATGGATTAAATCCAACAAATATTTAATTGTGTGTTTAAAAGCACTAATTCGAGCTCAGTTCTCTGTGACTGAACGATTATAGCAGGCCAGGATTAATTGTAGTTTCTCATAGGATTTAGGTTTGGTTCCTGTCGGAGAACGCATATTTTCTACGAAGTTTCTCGAACATTCAGGCCGGAAAATGTCATTTATACCGTTTAATTAAAGAAGAACAGAACATTTACTTAAATAAGTCTATCCATAAAAATATCTATGAATAAAAGTCAATTGCTTCTTCCACCGCGAGAAAAGTTGGCTCTCTGTGCCGCGCCAGGAAATTTTCTCCCTTGAATCGATCCTTCAAATATACAAAACAACCATCCGCCCTTAGCATGGAGTATTGCTGCCATATATGGTCTGGTGCACCTTCTGTTTTCCTCGGAGTTCTTGACAAGATCAAGAGACGGATATGTAATATAATTGGCCCTGATCTGGCGTCTCGTCTACAGTCACTCTCTCACAGATGCACCATCGCCTCTCTCTGTCTTTTCTACAAATACTTCCATGGTAATTGCTCCGATGAGCTGCTTTCACTGGTTCCCAGACTCCATGAATTCAAGCGCCCTACGAGGCTGGCATCCCTTACACTATAGAAATTTTTAAATGTAGCCGTCTCTTCTACTCCAATAGCTTCATACCTCGCACCTCTCGCCTGTGGAACACCCTTCCCAATTACTGTTTCCCTGAAAGCTATAATCTCCAACTATTCAAATGTAATGTCAATCGACACTTCCAGTTACTTTGATCTACCCACTATCCTTCTCCTCATCCTTTCTTCTATCACTCCTATCCGCTCTCGCTCCAAATCCTCCGCAACCCCCTGCATCCTAGTGGCTTCACGCCTTTCTCGAGGGGTAATGCTAAAATATATATATATATATATATATATATATATATGAAGAAATATAGTCTTAAGATGTGCTATATTTATGGGATAAAGTGCTCAATATCAGAGATAGAGCGTGTGTAAATATATAGATGCAATCGTCAGGCCTGACGAGTGCATCTAACATGAAACAGACTGTCGCCTCTAAGTGTTGACTTCTATGTTCACTTTTATATATATACACACACACACACACACACACACACACACACACACACACACACACACATATATATATATATATATATATATATATATATATATATATATTCTGTTTATAGGTAAATTGGTACC